AAAAAAAAAAAAGATACATAAGATTTAATGGATCTAATATTTCAACTAATTATGAATTCTGAATTGAATTCTGATCCTGCTGAGAATACTCAAGATATACTTACTGCATTATCTAAATAAGAATATAAGTACCCCTGAGTTCTACTTACTCTCTGTAGGACTTTTGTTCACAAGTTATAGTAGTAATTTTATCTATACATCCACAGTATGAATTAAGCAGAAAAGATTCCATTAAGTCAATGTTTTGTTTTGTTTTTTTAATGACCTCTGAAGGGCATGTGGGCCTTTCTTAGTCTCACACTCTTACCACAGTACATCTAAAGATACTGTGTTTTCGTTAAAATGACATTTTTTAGAATTATTTCCTTGAGTTGTATTTCTAAAAGTGGAAATAAGGAAATTCATAGTTCTCATTGGTTATGGCCAGGTTGCTCTCCAGAAGGATGGTCCCATTCATAATTCTACCAGCAGCTTAGTAAATGTGCATGCTTGGGATAGTTTAACATGGAGTTTTCTTTTTTTTTCTAAATATAATGAAATCCATTGTTTTATCCTTGTTACTTTAATGAATAAGCTAAAGTTTCATTTTCTTTATTAGTGATGAGCATTTTCTATGATACATTTTTTTAAAATGCCAATCATTTTATTTTAATTTTATTTTTATTTTATTTTATTTTTTAAAGTAATCTCTATACCCAATGTGGGGCTCAAACTCATGATCCCGCACGAGCATGCGAGATCAAAAGTTGCATGCTCAACTGAGCCAACCTAGTCATTTTACACATTAGCATTTATTATTATATATTTTTAACATGGGTTTCTATATTTGGTTACCTTTTAATATTTGTTATAAAAAATCCCTATATGAACCCATCTACCTTAGCTGATGAAATTCTGTTCAATAGTGATGGTTTAATTCCCCTCTAACAATGGATCAGATTGTCAATTACGTCTTGTAAACATTTGTGTTTTTTTTCTGTAGCTAGTTTTTTTCTAAGTAATTCGCAGTGTAGCCTTGAAGCCTATTGCTGAATGGTCTACTTTATATTATAGCAGTGATGATTCCTCCTCATCATATTTTCTTTTTTTAAAATACATTTTTGGTATTCCTACTTACTAGATAAATGTTTACTGTTGGCTTCAGAAGTTCCATAAAGTGCCTTACTAAATTTAATTGGCTTGGCTTTGCTCTGCCTTTTTTTTTTTTTGTTTGTTTTTTTGGACAGAGCCCTCATGAGAGGGAGAGAGAGAATCTTAAGCAGGCTTCATGCCCAGCGCAGAGCCTGACAGGGGCTTGAACTCAGGAAACTGTGAGATCATGAGCTAAAATGAAGAGTAGGACACTTAATCAACTGAGCCACCCGGACACCACAAATTGTCTTTGCTTTAAATCTACATTACTTAAGAAGCATTTTATTTCCAAATATTTTACAATATGAAATTGTGATAATTAGAATACTTTAACTTAAATCATGGAACAAAATTTATGAATCCTCTAATTTGCTGAATTCTGAGGGATGCATCAATTTAATAAAAGAAAAAGCCTGAACTAAATGCCACTGAAAATGTGGCATCCCCATTCCAGTGGATCAGTTTAAAATACAATAAAATTTATGTATTTTCTAAAATCATTGTGTCTTAACTTAAAAATTGTATCTGAACAGGAACCAAATGAATACTTTCTTTGAGTAGTTTTCAGGGCTCCATCTTAGGTTGTAATTCTCAAGGTGATTTTTCTTTTTTGGTAGGTATGGTATGCTATTCATGAACCCCTTGGGAATGTAGTAAAGCTATGGACCCCCTCTCCTTAGAAAAAGCAGTAATGTACATTCACAAAAATTTGCATATAATCTCATGAAGCACAGACCTCTTTTAGGCCATTTCTGGGCCCTCCATTACAAACCCCTATTTTGTAGTGTTTTATTACAACCAGTTCCAAATTGCTTTTTACTTCCTTGTGTCTTAGGGGCTGACATAGCTGAGGTGATGCTGGATTTCATTGAATGGCTGACCCACCAGGAATTTGGCCGAAGGTGTGTGGTCAGTATCAGAGATATCCTGTCCTGGGTTAACTTCATGAACACAATGGGGGAGGAAGCTGCTTTGAAACGGCCAGAGACCATCTCCACTGTGACATCTTTTGTCCATGCTGCATGCCTGGTGTACATAGATGGAATAGGTTCAGGTATGTTGTCTGTTAGCTGGTGTGGGGACAAGGAGGTTAGGGTAGTGGGGAGAAAGAAATGGAATAAGCCCAAACCTCTGACCTCTGACCCAGATACTTTGTAAAATCACTTAACTCTAGCATTTCCAAGACCCAGAATAGATTTTCTTTTCTTTTTACTCTTTTTGAGAGGTGGTTGATGTAAAAGATAGGCTGAAGCTTCACATTGATTATAGTCCAGGGTAACTGGTAAATGTGAAGTGATAAGTGATTATGAAGAAAAAGAAGATTGTTGGAAATGTCCTTGCTCCTAAAGGACTGAGGACTGGGTAATTCTTAACATGAATAGTCATTTATATTGAATGGGCCTGAATCCTTTAGTTTTTTTTAAGTGTACTACAATTTCTTAAATTTCACTAAGTTCTGTTTTTTCAACAGTGAAGATTAGAGATATAAACCAAAATGATCACTAGTACCACATTAATTACTCCTTCCTCCAGACTGACTTATCATGGAGTACATGGTGCTTTACTGAATAAGCTGCTGCTAATCTGTAAATTATTGGGATGGGAGGGGCAGACCTTTTGCCTTTGGACTATTTACACTAGCAATCATATTTTGGGTATGCTTCAGCTAAGGTTTAATTTCCCCTGGAAACTGCCCAAGAGCTCCTGATGTGTACATATTTGGGAAGCTTGGTGTCAAACTGTTGTTTGATGGTCTGATCCTCTCTATTTTAGGGGTAACTTCCTCAGGGTTTGGTACAGCTCTCTTGGCTCGCAAAGAATGTCTGAAATTCCTAATCAAGAAACTTTCCAAAATAGTGAGACTTACAGAGTGTCAGAAAAATGAATTGAAGATTTATGACAGACTCAAGGCCAAAGAATTTACTGGAATAGATAACCTTTGGGGAATTCATCCATTTTTTATACCAAGGGGTAAGAATGATTTTAAATAAATGAAGGTTCTCTTCTTGTAGATCATGGGTACTTCACTTTTGTTGTGACTTTAGTGTATCCTACTTCTGATTATTTTCAAACTAGTTATCTGAATTAGAATCTGACTTGGCATAACCAATCATAATTGCATGAATGATTAAAAATACATAACTGGCACATAAAAATAGGGGAAAGTATAGTTTTTAATCTATGAATAAAATGTCTTATAAAATGCATTTATTTTTTATTTGGTGCTTAAAACAAGAGCTTTCCTATAGTGATAATTCAGCCCAGGGTGTATCATCATGAGGATGACCCTCATCCCTGCTTACAAAAACAGTTTTGTGAACTGTTGAGGACTTGGGTCACTCATCTTCCTCTCCCTGGCACCTGACATGAGCAATCCCAGGCATTCAGAAAATGTCTGTTGATGGAGTGAATGGATGAATGAATGAATAAGATTGTTGCTTGTCTAGCAGGGTCATCTGTTTCTTGTCCCTTCCTCCCTCCCTACATTAATAATTGTTGAGTGTCTGAAATGCATAGAGTGGCAGTTACTGGGGGTTCATTGGTGAACAAAATCAGCCCAGGTACCTGACCGAATGGAGTATAGCCCTTTTCTCTCTCCCTCTTCAGTACTACTCTTCATCCCTGGTGGTGCATCAATGATTTAAGTTCCCTAAGTCATTGTCATAGTATTTAATTCTCATGTAGGAGCTATATGTTTAGTGGCAGGGGACTGAAGTGGTCCTTGCTTCTGCTTCCATAGCTGGGGTGTAATAGATGTTTTCCTAGCCCTCCAGATTGGTATATGAAAAGTTTATTCCAGGAGACATAGTAGTACAGATGTTAAGCCCTATAAAACTGTTATTAGCCTGCATTATAGTTACATTATGGGTTAAAGATGCATCCTGAATTGTCTTGGTGACCTAAAAACATTGGATGAAATTGCCTATATGGAACCATGTGGCCAATACACCTAGCATACACTTGATTTTTAGGAAGATACCAATTTATAAAGGTAAATTGTACAAGTACTTGAAGTAATTCCAGGTGTAGGTTGTGAAAGGAAAAGTGTGCTTGCAGTAAGACCTATGTATGTATGCATAGACCTAAGTATATGCATAGGTGTAAGAGCTGGAGAGATCTGAGTAGTAGGCACAGTTGAAGAACGTGTGCTGCTGGCTATTGCTTTAAAGCAGTTAATGAATCTAAAAGTGGTGAAGTGTTGAAATAGGGTTGAGCATTTTCATCACAGATGGTACTTCACTGACTGAAAGTCTGCTTGGTAGGTTCTTAAAATCTTGGCTTGACATGTATATATGATTTGCTGATATTCATCTTCTATGTGGCTTTTCTTTTCTCTACTTAAGGACCTGTCCTTCACAGGAATAATATTGCTGACTATGCACTCAGTGCAGGCACCACTGCTATGAATGCCCAGAGGCTCTTAAGAGCTACAAAATTGAATAAACCCATTCTCCTGGAGGGCTCTCCTGGTGTTGGCAAGACAAGTTTGGTGACAGCATTAGCAAAGGCTTCAGGCAACATCCTTGTTCGAATCAACTTGTCAGAACAGACGGTAAGCTTAGTCATTCTATAGCTGATGAGGATGAGTGTAGGGAGTAATGTTTGTATCTGTTTATAGAGTTTCTTATTCAGAAATAGTTAGGACATTTTCAGTACCTCAGATATTTCATGGTGGTAAAGACCACACCAACATGACCTTCAAATTAAGTCTGCTTTTAGGTTCGTTAATAGCTGATATCTGTAATCTTGTTCCCCTCTAGATGCTTTATTCTAGTTGTCTTTTGAGAGATAGTTACCCAATTCAGTGTATATTATAACCTTGTTTTTTGTCATTTCTAAAAGGGAAAAATTAGTAGAAATAAAATGGCCTTTAAACAGTCTTAGGAAATAATGGGACAAGAGGTGACAAATGAGACTCCCTGGACGTTGTTATTGGTCTTTGTTTTGTTTTTTGTCTTTAAAGCTCACTAATTAATTTCCAAGTATAGCCACAGTTGAGAACTGCTGATATAGAGCTCCAACTCCAGTCCATTGATACTTGCAGTATTGTGACAAAAAGGTTTTTGAGGGCATGTCTGAGCTCCTGGTACAGAGTGCTAGGTTGATTAGTTCTGTTGTGGTGGGTATAAAAAGGAAAAGTAGCATAAGGCTCAAGAATTTATCAGGTTAGACTTAAGGTCTTGGGATCTAGTAAATTTTTTAATGTAATGTTTTCCTCCTTTCTACCCCCTCTTAAAGGACATCACAGACCTGTTTGGAGCAGATCTACCTGTTGAAGGTGGCAAGGGAGGAGAGTTTGCCTGGCGGGATGGCCCTTTGCTGGCGGCTCTGAAGGCAGGCCATTGGGTTGTGTTGGATGAGGTGAGAGGTTTGTTGTTCCAAGTATAGGGTCACAATGGGAAGAGCAGTTGTACTTTTCTTGTTTCTAGGGCATATCTCAGTGGGTTGTCATGCTTTTTTGCTAGTAAAGACAAATTCTCTAATGAAGAAAAATCCTTCATGGTCTCTTTTAAGAATGAGAAAAGTCACTTATCGCAAAGCACATATAGAAGCCCCTGTGTATACAAGCTACAAACCCCGGCTTTTGTAAGCCAGCTACTAGAGAAAAACTATCTCTTGTCTTTTTTTTTTTTTTTTTTTTTTTTTTTTTTTTTTTTTTTTTTTTTTTTTTTTTGGTAATGTTTATTTTTGAGACAGTGAGCAAGAGTGAGTGAGGAAGGGGCAGAGAGAGACAGAAGGAGACAGAATTAGAAGTAGGCTCAGAGCTGTCAGTACAGAGCCTGACTCGGGGCTCAAACTTATGAACCGTGAGATCTTGACCTGAGCCAAAGTTGGACCCTTAACTGACTGAGCCACCCAGGCACCCATGTCTCTTAAGTTGTCTTAAGAGACATACAAAAAATGCTGAGAAAACGGTCAGTGGTACATGTGTATGTTAGATAAATGAATGAGTAGAAGAATGGAGCCCCTCATGATACCTGTGATAAATGCTGGATCTTAGTGACTGACAGGCACTGGAGATAGAGAAAAGTGATGCACAAAAATAAAAAATTTAAGACTGTGGGCCAGTGTGTCTGGTCACAAGATTCCTTTGGAATCTGAAGCTGGAGGGCAGACTGTGGTATTTCTTTTCAGCTGAGCTGCTGCTTACTTACCATGGAGGAGATATTAAGGAGAAGGAGCTGTCATGTGGACCACCCATCCACCTCAGTTTTTAGAAGATGTCTGATAGTATTAAATTCTTTAGCCAGAAAAGAAAAAATGCCTAGTTTTAAAGCTTAAGGCTTGAGACCATTTTCCTACTGGGTGGAAATGCATCTAGGTACCCAAGGCATTCTTGACTGCAGTCCCATTTAAGAGCAGCTTTTAGAACTTGACCTGTTTGGGAATATTCAGTGGAATTTGTGCTTTTGAGTGCTTCTATAAACATGATACTTTAAATTCTGGTATAATATAGTCTGGGTTTTTCTGGTCCATTTGCATTTTATTGATTTCACATTTTCCCAGTTGAATTTGTCCATGTTACCTAAAAACTATCACACTTCACATCCCTGAGCTCTGAAGTCAGCATCTGAAGACCTCCATTCAGCTATTTTCATTTTTGGCACAGAAACTCCTTGTATTTGTTCTTGTTCACAAAACTCTTAGTGGAAGTTAGTTATGTCTATCCATTAATGTGGTTTATATCATGACTTTGAAGCCCATTTGGAGATTTCAGTCAGTATTTGTTCTGGGAAAGATACTTTTTTAAATATGTAGAGAGCTGTCTTCATCTTTAAAGATCTCAGAGTGCAAAAGTGAGATCTGTGTGTTGGCATGTTTTTTTTTTGAAAGCTATGATTTACGGGATGGGTCCATATAGGTGAATACAGTGGATACAGTGTAATTTTAGAGAAGATTTTAACTGCTTTTTTAAAAATTCAGTCTGAGTATTCAATTTACTTAAGTTACTGTCAGTTTATATCCTTCAGATGTCTCTACCACATATATATGAAATAATAAGATGAATATACTTGGCTTCCTCCTCCTGAAGATAACACTTATTCTACTTTTGTGCCTATTATTCCTCTGCTTTTTGTTATAGTTATACAATGTATGTAATAAATGTGTGCACTTTCTTCAAATAGCTCAACCTGGCTTCTCAGTCTGTATTGGAAGGACTCAATGCTTGTTTTGACCACCGAGGAGAAATTTATGTTCCTGAGTTAGGAATGAGCTTTCAAGTACAGCATGAAAAGACGAAGATTTTTGGGTGTCAGAATCCCTTTAGACAAGGAGGTGGGAGGAAGGGCTTGCCAAGATCTTTCCTTAACAGATTCACTCAGGTAAGATTTGCTGTTGCCATGGAGACCAAAGGTGGAGTGTTGGGGGTGATAAGACTGCTGGCATGTAGCTATTAGGATGCTCATTATAAGAATGAGAGAGCTTCAGTTTAATGATGTATTTCTCAATTCCATGTCTTTATATGACAAACACTAATGCATCCAGTTCCCATCATCACTTCCCTCCTGCTGTGAGTCCCTTTGTTTTAAGTCCTAGAGGACCTGATGTGTTATCAGTTAGTGGAGAGTAAGGTCACCATTCCTCTAAGATTTCTATTACTGTGCTCAGGATAAAGGCCAGTATTTGACCTTTCTAGGTATCTGTGTGATGTATGAAAACATGGAAGTTTTAAAATTTTTTTTTTAATATTTATTTATTTTTGAGAGACAGAGACAGTGCGAGCGGGGGAGGGACAGAGAGAGGGAAGACACAGAATCCGAAGCAGGATCTAGGCTCTGAACTGTCAGTGCAGGGCCCAGTATGGGGCTCAAACCCACAAATCGTGAGGTCATTCATGACCTGAGCCAAAGTCAGAAGCTTAACTGACTGAGCCACCCAGGCACCCCAAAACATTGAGATTTTTTAATGATGAAAATAATGCATTGTAGTTAAAGAAAAGGGAAAAATAAAATCCAGTATTCTCCATATAAGGGTCAATCATTATTAACATTTGGTGTGTTTTCTTACTGCCTTTATTCTCATTTACAGAGATAGGAGTTGTGTGTATGTATGCTTACTTGTTTTAACATTTATTTGCCAAATTTTGACTAGCCTAGAGGTTTGTAAATGGCCCTAGATGTTAGCTTTCTTTAATGTCCTTTTCTGTTGACAATTAAGAATTAGAGTATCTTTTCAGAATAATTTATTATGAAAAATATCAAATATATTGAAAAGTTGAAGGGATTTTGAAGTAACTGCTCATATGCCCTACCATCTAGAATTCTGAGGGCATTATTACATAATGATAGGAAATTAAAAAAAAAAAAACAAATATACTTAAAAAATATACTTTAAAAAAGTGGTATGTTATCTTTTTTTTCTTTAATTCAGTAGAGTGGAGCTAACAACACTACCAACACCTCTGTGTAAAGTGTTTAAAATATTTTATGTGATTCTGTATGTTAAAATGCAAAAAAATAGATTTCTGTAACTGAATTTTTATATATAAAATGAGGTTTGATACGTTGGTGTTAAATAAAAACTTTGCATCATAGGTGGTAGTCATTTCTGGTGTTTGGTGAAGAGATGCTGTAGCCTTTCTTCATGTTATTTTTGGATTCTGTAGGTCTTTGTGGATCCCCTTACAGTAGTTGACATGGAATTCATTGCCAGTACTCTGTTTCCAGCCATTGACAAAAATATTGTTGAGAAGATGGTTGCTTTCAACAACCAAGTAAGTACCTACTTGTATTAACTGTCCTTTGTTTTGATGGCTGTAATTGAACTATCATTTCATCGTGGGACACTATCAAATTTACCAGTCTTTTTAAAAATAAAGCACATTGAATTGTCCCAGTTTCTAGTGGAATAAACTAATCATCTGAGGATTATAGTAATTCAGATCTATTTTGTATATCAGGTTAATACTCAGTATTTCTGGTTTAGATGTCTGCGTTGGGTGAAGGAGACATTTGTATCAAACCTGCTAATTTCTGTTTCAGATTATGCATGCCTTATAGTACTTAATACAGTGCCTACCAGTGGGACATGTTTCCCAATAATAGTGTTTTCTTTTTAGATTGATCACGAAGTGACTGTTGAAAAGAAATGGGGGCAAAAAGGAGGACCCTGGGAATTCAACCTTCGGGACCTTTTCCGCTGGTGTCAGTTGATGCTGGTTGACCAGTCCCCTGGGTGTTATGATCCTGGTCAGCATGTGTTTTTGGTCTATGGTGAAAGAATGAGAACCAAGGAAGACAAGGAAAAGGTGAGTTTCTTACTATTCTTTGGGTTTCTTTCCATCTGAAAGTTGATTTCTTCCTAAGAGAGAGAAAGGGCATACTCACTCATAACATTCAACACAGTAAAGCTGCTTAGAATTAATTAATTAATTAATTTTTAAATGTTTATTTTTGAGAGAGAGAGAGAGAGAGAGAGAGAGAGCGCGCATGCAAGCAGGGGAAGGGCAGAGAGAGGGGGAGACACAGAATCTGAAACAGGCCCCAGGCTCTGAGCTGTCAGCACAGAGCCCGACGTGGGGCTCGAATTCACGAACTGTGAGATCATGACCTCGGCTGAAGTCGGCCACTTAACTCACTGAGCCACCCAGGCACCCCAAAGCTGCTTAGAATTTAAAAGTTAAACAGACCAGATGTTCACTGACTTCAAAGTCTCAAAGTGCACCTTTCTAAGTTTCTGCGTGATGTATTAGTTTGCTTTTGAGTACACAATTTGCTTATCCATCTGAATTCCAAATATTGCAAACCTTGTTAAAGCAATATTGCCCTCCAGTAATAAAGAACTAGGTCCTTGAGGGGTGGGGGAGAGGGGAAAGTGGGTGATGGGCATTGAGGAGGGCACTTGTTGGGATGAGCACTGGCTGTTGTATGGAAGCCAATTTGACAATAAATTAAAAAAAAAGAATTAGGTCTTCATCTTTCTAGGCATAAAGGAGAGAAACAGGAGGAGATAGGTGATACTCAAGTAGAGAAGGAGGGTTTTCTGTTTTTAAATAAACTTTGAATTACAAAGTATTTTATCTAGAAAATATAATTAGATCTATAAGAGGGTATTCTGTATCTCATTGGCAATAAAAATATCCCTTCGTAAATGGAGTAACACTAGAATTCCTAGCCTAATAAACTAATAATGTGTTCATTTTGCCTTGTGGTATTTAAAGTCTGATCTCACAAGATACTCATAATAGCTGCAGGTAGGAGGCACTATCATGACCTCTGAATAGTGAGGATCCAATGCTCTTAGTCATGGGGTATCACCTATAGTAAATAGTAGAGCCAGCACTTCTACATCGCAATTGTAGCTAAATGTTAACTCATTCATTATGTGCAAGTGGCTTTTGGTCAGTATATTAAGACAAAATATTCACCCAGTATTTTTTTATTTTTATTTTTTTACAACTCTGTTATATATAATTCATATACTATTAGCTGGTATTTTATTTTCTTCATTCATTAACTAAATTATAGTATATCTATTGTGGCCAGACACTGGCCAATTTTTGGATAATTGATATTATTCAGATAGTATGTTACTGTAGAGTGTGGAAGATTTCCATCACTTTCTGATTCAGTTATTGTAATTCACACACCCAAAAAAGTGAAAAATAATAATAGGAGAAAGACTTGTAAAAGCTGGAAGAATTTGAGTAAATTGAGTCTGACTTTATAAAACTAAACCAACTACATTGTGAAAGCATTTTTAATTTTAATTTTGGTAGACTTTCAGGGAGATGAGATTATATTCTGCCTTGGAGGGAAATATAAGCTCAGAAATCACCTGGACCCAGAAATATGTGACAGGAGCACTTTCTCCTATGCTGCTTTTTGACTCGTAGTCAATGTTTGGTACTGATAATGATTTTATCTTTACAGTTTTTTCCTAATGTTTCTGAAACTCTTTTATTTATTTAGTTGAGGTATAATTGACACATAACATGAGTTTCAGGTGTACAACACAATGATTCAGTATTTGGGTGCATTGTGAAATGATGACTACAATAAGGCTAGGTAACATCTGTCACCTTACGCAGCTACAAAAGGCTTTATTTATCTATCTACTTATTTATTTATTATTTATTTACTGATATTTTTAAGAGAGAAAGTATGCATGCATGTGCACTAGCAGGGGAGGGGCAAAGGGAGAAGGAGTAAGAGAATCTTAAGCAGGCTTCAAGCCCAGTGCTAAGCCTGACAGTGAGATCATGACCTGAGCTGAAATCAAGAGTTGGACACTACTTAACCGACTGAGCCACCCAGGCGCCCCAAGACTTTTTCTCTTTTGATGACAACTTTTTAAATCTGTTCCCTTAGTAGTTTTCAAATACATAATATGGTATTATTATTTAAAATTTTTTTTACTAGTTTTTAAAGTTTATTATTTTTAAGAGAGAGAGAGCAGGGGAGAAGCAAAGAGAGAGTGAGAGAAAAAATGCCAAGCATGCTCCGTGTAGTCAGTGCAGAGCCTGATGCGGGGCTTGAACCCACTAACCATGAGATCATGACCTGAGCTAAAATCAAGAGTCAGATGTTTGACTGAGCCACCCAAGTGCCCCTATGTTTATTTATTTTTTATTTA